TCTCTAGTCAGCTCTCACTTTGCCTTTTTTTTTTTTTTTCTTCTGAGATGGAATTTTGCTCTTGTTGCCCAGGCTGGGGTGCAGTGGCGCAACCTCGGCTCACTGCAACCTCCGCCTCCCGGGTCCAAGTGATTCTCCTGCCTCAGCCTCCCAAGTAGCTGGGATTATAGACACCCACCACCACGCCACCACGCCCGGCTAATTTTTGTATTTTTAGTAGAGACGGGGTTTCGCCATGTTGGTCAGGGTGGTCTCGATCTCCTCTCCTCAGGTGATCCACCCACCTTGGCCTCCCAAAGTGCTGGGATTCCAGGCATGAGCCACCGTGTCCAGCCTCTTTTAGCTTTTAAGGTCTAGATCAAGCATCATTTCTTGTAGGAAAGAATCCTAAACTTCCTCAGCCCACAACCCCCTAGTGTCCAATAATTTTTACATAGAGCCTGTGGGCCAACATAAATACCAACAGTTCTGTTTATTTAGTAGTTAGATCTAAACACCTTAATAAGGATTTTTGTCCTGCCAACTTAAGAGCTGTGTCAACACACACAGACACACACACACACACACAAATTGGAAGAAAAATGATATTTGTATTCTTAAGTAACCACAGCTACTTACTAACGGGATGTGTATGTCTGTGGGGCACCGTACAACTGCCCAAGCCTTAGGATCAGATGGGGTACTGCCACTGTCATTACCTGTTCCACATTGATTTTCACTGGCTACTTGGTTTTTATTACGACAGTTGCTGAAACTGCAGCTTCACCAAGATAGGACCTCAAGAATGCAGCCCAGTCTGATACTGTGAACTCTAACTACCTCAAGCTAGAAGCTTATGTGGTGTTCAACAGATGAGTATGCTGTGTTTCCCTTATAACATTTAAAACATCCAGTGGCACCTCTTTTGAGTTTGCTGTGGTGTTCTGACCTAGAGTAGCTTGGTGTACAATTTGAGAACCTCAGGCTTGGGAACTCCCCACTATGGAGCTGGGCCCACCGTGAGCTCTCTTAGCACCCTGCACGTCTCTGTCATGGCCCTTGGCCTATTGCATTGTACGAAGCTGCTTTTGTATCGGACTCTCTAAGGCTGTGAGCTCTCTAAGGGTAGGGACCATACTTTCCTCCTCTTTGTACATCCCGTGATAATGCAGGGGTTTTTTTTTTTATTTTCATTTGGTTTCCTGGTAAGAGTTCCATAGGAGGAGAAGAAAAAAGAGAGTAGAAGGAAAAGAAATAAGGGAGAGGAGGGAAGGAAAGAAGGAAGGAAGAAAGAGAGAGGGAAGGAGGAAGAGGAGGGAGGGAAGGCAGAAAGAAGGAAAGCTGCTTTGTCTCAGGCAGACTAATAGGAAAGCAATTTTTGCTTGCAAACCTCCTTCAAGGGAATGAGAGGTATTCTCCGTGACCCTGGGGCCAGGCCAACCTTGAATTCAAAAATCCTCCGCGCTGATGGCAGAAAGTAGGAAGAATCCCGCCTGAGCGTTGCAAGGCCATTGGCGGGCACTGCTGGTCCCTCCCCTGCGGGAAGGATCACTGCTCACCTGTTTTTTTGTTTGTTTGTTTGTTTGTTTGTTTGTTTTATTAGCCATTGTGTTTCTTTTCTTTGTGCTGTTCTTCCTCATCCTCAGTAAGCATGAGAGTTTTTACACTATTTCTTTTTCATATTCTGCTACAAATGAGATAATCAGAAAGATTAGGGCTAGGATCAGAAGTCAAATTTAGGTTCACACATGACAAAACTTCAACAATTCACATTTCACCAGTTCTAACCAAGAAGGTTCCATTTAAATCACTGATTGCTGTCATTTGTTGCTGTCATCCAATGGGTGCATTTTAGTTTCAAGGGATATGCCTCCTTTATCTGCTGGAGGTCTCAGACAGTGTCTGAGTAAACTCTCTGCCAACTCCTCAGTCACCCTGAGGACAGCAGATGCACAGGCTCAGGCTGGGGTTTAGGGTCCACCCCACATACTCCCACTTGCCCTTGGCATTGGCCCCATGGGTGGACCACGGAGGTGGGTGCTCTATGGCAACAGTCTTTCTTCAGCAGAGTGGAGAGGGAGAGGCATGTTCTGCCGCGCCCATGTTCAGTCTGTTCTGTGGGCAGAGTTTGGGGAACACACTTAGCCCAAATCGGTGCCAGCCTGGCAGTGGGTGAAGGGCCAGCAAGGTTTGTCTGTGGCTCATGACCTTAGGGAAAATGAGATTTTACTCCTCCAACCTCCTGCCTGGAGAACTGCACTGTTTCAGATAGGTAACAGCTTTCTCGAAGCTTTCAAAAATAAAAATACAACCTTTAACGTACACAGCTGCCAGAAAGTCCTTCCTGGAAGCTAACTTGCGCCCTTTGTGCTTATTTTATTTTGGCCAACCCTCCCTGGAGCATGTGCACCAGATACGATAACCTTCCACCAAACCGGGACCTCTCAGATCTCGGCTTTTCAGAACAAAGAATTCGGATTTCCTTAGCCTTTCATCATCATCTTATCACCCAAACCTTTCATTATCTTTTTCAATTTTTTCTTTGAACTCTTTCCAAAACTTGTCTTTTGAGTTACGGAGCCCGTAACTTAATTAGATCTTTCATTTCCAGAGGATACTCCTAGTGCCTCGGAAGAAATAAATTAAATTTCAGTTGGATGTATTTCATTGGGGGAAGGGTGCAGAAAAAAAAAGAAATTGAATTCCTTATATAAATAGCACATTGTCTGGTGCCACAAATGCGTTTTCCTTTTCCCAGTTGTTTTTGGAACAATGGGTCCTTTTTTGGTGACTTTAATTCCTCAGAGATTCTAACCTCTAAAAGGTCATGGTTTGTGTTCTTTTGTGCATACACGGCTTCTGTACTGAAATAAAAAGGCGAGATGTGTGGCCTCTGATTGTCTGGTAAGTCGTGAGGAAACAGACAAGGCTGCAGCCCAGCAGCAGTTAAGCACCTTGTCAAAGTGTGGGAATGAGCATGTGTGGGTCTCTGTGCTTCTAGCCTTTTCTGCACCAGATGTTCCAAGGGGAGCAGAGGGATCTGTCTTGCTTCTCCGTAACTTCATCTCTCTGTAAGTAGGCTTGCGTTTTACAATGCTGTTCTCATGAGATGTGCAGACTTCCCTATCCTGATCATTTGGTATCTGTCCACAGACTTTCATGGGGGAAAGGGACCATCTTTAACTTGTCTTTCTGCTGTGGAGCAGAACAACAGAGGCTGGCCTTTGCTCAGCCATCACCCCAGCCAGGCTGCTTTAAGCGCATTTCATCACTTGTTTCCACTTGAGTTTTTCCTTGTGTCAAATGAAGAAGTTGGGTTCACAGATGACCTCTGAGGTCCCTTCCAGTCCAACCCTGTGATTCTCACAGCATCGGTCATTCTAATTGCTCCATAGAAGGGTAGGACAAGGAAGCAGGGGGTGAGTTTAGCAGCCAGTTGGGGAAAGGATGCTTGCAGAGAGTGTCAGTGTAACTTGGATTCCCACTTATCTCTTCTCCCTCCCAAGGATCCTGAATCAACGTAGTGTGAAGGGACAGGAAAGAGCACCTATTGATCACCTGTGATGGGTCGGATGCTCCTTCTCTACACTGGCTCATTTAATCATTACCTCTCACGTAGAATAGATGTACCAGGTGTTTTCCACCTCAACAACCGCCACGCGCCCCATCCACCCCACCCAGATGTGTCTGCACCCTCAGATTTCACTTGAAATGTTCCCTCCTTAGTGTAGCCTTCCCCAGCCCCTCAGAACAGATTAGATCTCCCTGTCCTATGTTCTTATGTCCCCTATGCTTTCCCTCCACTGCACTTAATGCCAATGTAATTAAATCATTATCTGTATAATAATATTTACGTGCCTACTCAACAGAAAACTACTTTAGGGCAGGGATCTCATAACTCTTGTTCATTACTGTATTCCTAGAGCCTAGTACAGTGCTGACAAAATAGTTGAAATTCAGTAGATGTTTGCTGAATAAATGTAAGCATGAATGCATGAATGAAAGGATGGATGAATAGCAAGGCTAGATACAAATCCAGAACTATCTGGCTCTTGGAGACCTGTGTATGATTTCAGAAGAGCTCCACTTGTAAGTTTGTACACAGGGCTTCACTGCTATAACCGGCCTATGGATACTTAGCCACAGTTAGTTATGCTCTGAGTCATTTCTCCAGAAGTGGGAATGATAGCTGCACTGCTGTGGCCATTCCTTTTAACCCAGTGATACTCGTCCCCAAAGATGTCTATAAAATACTTGGAGATGATGGATCCAGCCTGGTGGTGGTTGGAAGTGGGTGGAGGGAGGCAATGAATTAATCCAAACCAACTGTCCTTGTAAGCATTTAGCCCTATGTCTTAATAATAATCAGCACCAGCCTGGGCAACATAATGAGATCCTGTCTCAAAAATAAAAAATTAGCCAAATATGGTGGCATGCACCTGTAGTCCCAGCTACCTGGGAGGCTCAGTGAGAGGATTGCTTGAGTGCGGGAGGTCGAGGCTGCAGTGAGCCATGATCATCACATCACTGCACTCCAGCCTGGGTGACAGAGTGAGACTCTGTCTCAAAAGAAAAAGAAAAAGAAATAGAAAACCATCAGCACCACTTCTAATACTTTCTACCAAACGAGCTGAAAACAAGAATCTGCTCTTTCGGGGATCTGGGTCAGTAAGAATGAGCGGGTGAAGAGGAAGGAGGAAAAAGCAAGACATGACAACCTTTAGAGAAGCAAAAATAAAACTCTAATGTGGAAACTGCTGAAAATAGACTGCCTGGGCTGTCAGACTGCATGCAAATCTGATGCTAATTACATGGAAATTAATTACAAGTCCTAACTTCCATATGTCTCGATATGACCCCTGGGGGGAAACCTGCTGCAGGTGTCTACTCCCCACCACAGAGTAGTGAGCAGAACACAGGCTATGATGTCGCCTCCTTCACACTCGCTCTTGCCACTGCAGTGAGAAAAGCTGAGAGGAGGCTAAAAATACTAACAATAGAAATTTGATTTCTTCTTTCAGACAAAAAGCCTTGGCATCCACGGGAGGAAGAAGTGTTCAGGCAGCATGTGACTGGTTGGTATGAGATAAATAAATTGAGAAAATAGCATATAATTAACTCTTAAGTGCATGTGGATGAGTGGGGAGGTGCAGACTTTCTCTAGTGGACTCTTCCAGAAGAGACAGGAGCCAAAAGACTGTGGCAAGGGCATTTATCAAGTCAATTGCCTCCTCTGCCCTGGCCCCAGGGTATATTTCTCCTTGGAGCTGTTTAAAGAAAATTCTAAGTAATTCCCAGATAGAGCCCCTCTCATAAGATCTGTCCCCGCTCCAGTCACTTAAAGATTCATTTTAGGGGTATGGATACTGGGCAAATCAATTTAGAGAAGTACCCTACTGACCTTTCAGGGTATCCCTACCCAGGGTGGATCCCACAAGGTAACCTGTCTGGGAGCTTCCCTTGTCTTTGGAGGGACATGGGTTTAATTATAGGCTGACCTGAGGGACAGGCTGGGTTGGTCCTAGTGGATTGAGACAGGATTTGGAGTTGATCCAAGAATGCTTCCTGGAGAGTGGTTTCAGGACTTTTTTAAGGAGTTGTAGGATGAGGAGGCAAAATGACAAGAAGGAAGACAGAAGTTGCTGCATCCGAGAGTTGATTGTGAAGTGTGAGTTTCCAGAAGTAGATTTTTAAGTCATGAATGAAAACCCTTCCCTGCGCGCTATGCTGGGGATTCGGAGCACGTGGAGGGTGGATCTGTCTCTCAGTTCTTTTTTTCCTCCCGTTATTCTCAAGCAACACCTCACTGGCTTACTTCTGTCTTACAGGTTATTCTCCCACGTCGGTGACCCCTTCCTGGATGACCCCCTGCCCCGGGAGTACGTCCTCTACCTCCGTCCCACTGGCCCCTTAGCACAGAAGCTTTCCGACTTTTGGCAGCAGTCGAAGCAGATCTGTGGGAAGAACAAGGCACACAACATCTTTCCCCACATCACACTCTGCCAGTTCTTCATGGTGAGCGGCAGCCCCCCCGCCCCTGGGAAGCCTGACTCCCAGGATCCCAGCCGACCCTTTGGGACCTGGAACAAAGGGGGAGCCTCGCAGGAAGATGGCAGGAATAGTCACGGGCTCTTAGAGCTGGAGGGACCTTCAAGGGATCAGTGAGGTCCACCATGAGCCCCTCACCGCAACGCTTCCTAGTTTTATCTGCTGAGGCCCAGGAGCACCCCAGGATGGGGGCAGCACCAGATTGTAACCCTCTGTGAGAGACACATGGGTCTGGCTGCTGGAATAGAATCACTGATCTAGCTTCACACTCGTTTGCTGTCTACCCTCTCCACTCTTACGACAACCAAAGAGGAGGAACTAAGAGCAGGGAACAAAAAAGGTAGTCTATAGACAGGCAAAGCCATTTCCTATCCATGGGGTTTTTTTTTCCCACTATATATTTCTAGAGAATGCAAAGATATTTACTTGCTGTTGTTACCTAGTCTATAATCCTAGCTGTCAGGAAGCTTATCTACTGACAATTTTTTTTATTTTTTTTTAAGAGACAGAGTCTTGCTCTGTCACACAGGCTGGAGTGCAGTAGCATGATCTCAGCTCACTGCAACCTCCATCCCTCGAGTTCAAGCGATTCTTCTGCCTCAGCCTCCCAAGTAGCTGTGATTACAGGCATGCGCCACCATGCCCGGCTAATTTTTGTATTTTTAGTAGAGACGGGTTTTCACCATGTTGGCCAGGCTAGTCTTGAACTCTTCACCTCAAGTGATCCGCCCACCTTGGCCTCCCAAAGTACTGGGATTATAGGTGTGAGCCACCGCGCCCGGCGTCTACTGACCAAATATCATCCCCCTCACTATCACACATGTAAATACATTTTGTGTACTTTAGCTCTCTGTGGTAATACAGAAGAGTTGATTTATCTCCATACATTCAAGACCAAAGTGGTTGCATTTTAAAACATTTTTATAAAAAATATTTTGCTTTATTCCCCAGATATATTCTCTCTCTTTTTCTCTCTCTCAGGTAATAATATGTTCCTAACACCTTCTCTTTTACCATTCAGCCTGAAAATCAAAGTGACTATCATTTCCTCTTAGTCATCCCAGGATCTTTCTCAAAACCCTTAAGAGTTTGAGAGACATTCATTCTTTTTTCCAATGCTCTCAGGAAGGTAGGAGGATGATGTCACAGCTCTCTGGGACTCATTCTTCCAAACTCTCATGAGGGTGGATGTAGAGTCAACTTCTGATCATCTAAGAGGAAAAGAAAAGGTACAGATGATACAAAGTAGTAGAAAACACGCAGCTTCTCCTGGGATGCTGCACTCTCTCCTGTCACATTCCTTCAATTTTTTTTTTTTTTTCACAAGCAAGGAGAACTTTGATTTTTTTTTTTCTTTTTCTTTTTTTTTTTCTAATTGATATATAGTCTCTCTCTGTCACTCAGGCTGGAGTGCAGTGGCGTGATCTTGGCTCACTGCAACCTCCACTTCCCAGATTCAAGTGATTCTCCTGCCTCATCCTCCCACGTAGCTGGGACTACAGGCACCCGCCACCACGTCTGGCTAATTTTTGTATTTTTAGTAGAGATGGGGTTTTACTATGTTGGTCAGACTGGTCTCAAACTCCAGGCCTCAAGTGATCCGCCCACCTCGGCCTCCCAAAGTGTTGGGATTACAGGCATGAGCCACTGCGCCCAGCCTGATTTTTTCTAATTGATAAAAATTGTATACATTTATAGTGTATAACATGATGGTTGAATAAATGTGTGCATTGTGGAGTGCCTAAACCAGGCTAATTGTATATGCATTACCCCGCATGTTTATCATGTATTTATGTTGAGAACAAAATCTACTCTCTTCGTAATTTTCAAGCATACAATACGTTATGATTAACTATAGACACTAATAGCATAATAATAGGTCCCTTGAACTTAATTTCTCCTGTCTAAGTGAAGTTTTGTGTCCTTTGACCAACATCTCCCCCATCTCGCTCCCCTTTCTTGCTTTGTGCTCGACCAGTCCTACAGCATTTTGGCTGGGTTCACAGGGGCCACTTCAGAGCAAGGAAAGGAGGGAAGAGGTTGCGTGTTCCCCGGATTAATCCACCAGTTGGGTAATCTGTGTCTGAGTAATTGGAGGTCTGCAGTTCCTCTCTCTCCCCACAGACGGGGATGGTGGTTAAGTAATTGCACTATCAGCCTCCTCCAGTTTCTGGGGAGAGGATGCCAATGTTAAGTAGCAGCAGACTTCCATCTCCCCTCGTCTCTAAGTGAAGACTGCCTGTTTTCCCTGCCAGTGCGAGGACAGCAAGGTGGATGCCCTGGGGGAAGCCCTGCAGACCACGGTCAGTCGCTGGAAATGCAAGTTCTCCGCCCCGCTGCCCCTGGAGCTCTATACGTCCTCCAACTTCATCGGCCTCTTCGTAAAGGAAGACAGTGCGGAGGTCCTCAAGAAGTTTGCTGCTGACTTTGCTGCAGAGGCTGCATCCAAAACCGGTGAGCAAACAGCTGCCAGGCCAGCCCTGGGCCCTGTCAATCAAAGAGCTGGAAAGGAAAAGGGATAGGAAATGGTGGTAGAGGAGCAGGATGGGGTCAGGAGGTGGAGGGCCCTGCAGGAACGGGCACGTGTGACAAAAAAGCAGCCTTGTCCTGCAGCACCCCACGCCTTTTTGCTCCCTTGTAAAAATGTTCCACTCCTTTTCTGCTAACCTGGAGAGACCGTCTAAGGCTTATTCCCTAACCCCCAAGTTGAAGCTTCACAAATGACTTCCATACGGAACTAGAAATGTATTTCTTTGTAGCACCACCATCTCCTCCTATTTCAGAATTAAAGAAACATCCTTTCTCCCTCCCAAGCTACTGGTGTTTATCTGGGTCTCACTGTTTACTCCACGACAATCCAGATCTTTTCTCAGTGGGTAGCACAGGATAGAGAGAAGAGTGGAAGCACTTCGTATTATATCACAATAAAATCCACTGAGCCAATACCCTTCAACTTGCTGAACACCATTAGATAGGACCCCAAGCCCCAAGAGTCTGTCTAAAAATGTAACCCCTTCCAGATGTCTCCTGCTCTTCTCATGGGAGCTTTTAGCTCAGGGCACCTGAGATTTCCTGTCAAAGGAATTAGCTTAAAGCTCGAGGCAGGAGACACGATGGAGGTGACAAGAGGGAGAAGTTTGCAAAGCTCTCGTGTCTGGCTACAGGTGTGGACAAGCTCACTTAGCTCAATGACAGCAGGGAAACAGACAGACAACCAGGTGCGGGGAGAGCCTCTTGGCTCCCTCCAGCATGAAATCACAATTGGTAGGTACTTACTGGTCACCTACTATGAGGATTCCTCCTACATGAGGAGTGCAACAGGGAAGAGAACAAGAAGTGGTTTCTCCTGGCCAGGCCCTGTGTAACATCAGCTCTGAAAAGAGAAAGGGGTGGTTCCACCGTCATGGAAGGAAGGAAACTTGCCCTGAGACTATGTTGATCAGGACAATGGAGGAAAGACCGGCAGGTGGGCGGGTGGCAGGAGCACAGGCAGCCAGGCATGAGGAGGGTGTGAGCAGAGGACAGTGGGGAGGCTGCCCCGGCCAGAGTGGACGGTGCAGGATGCACAGGGGAAGCCAAGTGCTGAGTGCAAAGCTGGAGGAGACCTGGAACTCCCCTACCCATAATTTTATGGAGTGCCAGAGAGGGGGAAGACCTGAGCAAAGCCACACAGTTTGCTCCTTAGCCTTTTGGCCTATCCCTCACCTGCCATTGTTCCCTGCTGCTATTTTCATCACCATTTCAGGCCCTTTGGGGGCCTGAGATTCCTCTTTACCAGAAAAGCCCCACACAGGGCTTGGGACTTATGAGTGTGATGGGGGCTCAGCATCACTGCAGGATCACAGCGCTCTCGGAAGGAACACAAGGACCTTAAGACCCCTCTGTACCTGGGGAGGGGGCCTCTTTAGACTCCGCAACCCCCACCCCCACCTCTTCCTCTCCCTCAGCGACGGGACTAGTCTCTGGGTCCTGACTTCAGTGAAACCTGACATTTCATAGGAGCTTAATATTTCAGAGAAAGAGCATAACAGAGAGGCAAATTATTTCCTGGTCTTATCCCTCAATCTCAAGGAAATGGCTTTCTCTCATCACACAGTAGTTATCGTCAGAACCACTAAATCCCCACAAGGACCAAAACTAATGTCAAAGCCGCAAAACCCAAATCCTTCACAAATGAGAAAAGCAAGCCTCAGCCAGGGCCGCAGCAGATTCTTGGAGTGCATACTGAGCGAGAAGCAGTCGAAGCCCCAGCTTTCCCCGTGGGAGGTGGGAAGAGCCAGTCCCTCTCCAAGATCCTGCTGTCATGAAGAACTTGGCCAGCTTCGTTTCTCTGCTGTTGTGTGGCCCCCTGGTGGGGATGTGGAGAACTGGATGACCCTGCACAGCTTAGCTGGTCCAGCTCCTTGTTACCTAGCATGGAAAGCCGGCCACCATGTCTTTGCCCTGGAACTTGGTATTCTCCAGTTGTTGGCAGGCCCAGATATAATCAAGAAGATTTAGTGTCGTCCTCCATTCAAAGTGGTCAAAGGAGATTCATTCATGTGCATTTATTCATTTAACAAGTACTGAAAACCTGCATGATATGCTGAGTAAGGACACAGTGTAAGCAAGAGACAAAAACCTTGTCTCATGGGACTTACACCAAAGAAGGGCAATGCAGTATAAAAGAAAAAGTACTTAAAACCGAAATGCTCAATTTCTGCTTCTATCTTGGGCCACTAATTCTCTGTGTGACTTGACCAAGCCCCTTAAATTCTCAAATTCCCTAATTTCTTCTAGTTGCAACTTCTTCATTATTCTAGCTTGTACAATAGATGATTCTCCCTCACTGAACATACAAAAGAGGCCAGGCATGGTGGTTCACACCTGTAATCCCAGCTACTCAGGAAGCTGAGGTGGGAACATCACCTGAGCCCAGGAGGTTGAGGCTGTGGTGAGCTGTGACCATGCCACTTAACTCTAGCCTGGGCAACAGAGCAAGACCCTGTCTCAAAAAAAAAAAAAGAAAGTAGAAGAGAAAGAAAATGTAAAAAGCCATTCCCTCATGTAGGTAGGGTTGTTTTGTTTTGTCTCTTGGGGTATCTTAGAATAAGTCCGCATACTTTAAATGAGTATGTCTCAACTAAGGGTGATTTTGCCTCCCAGGGTACATTTGGCAATGTCTGAGGTCATTTTCGGCTGTTACAGCTTGGAGAGTGCTGCTGACTTCTTGTGGGTAGAGGCCAGGGATGCTGTGAAACACCCTATAATGCACAGGACAGCCCCCCACAAAAAATAAGTATTCAACCCAAAATGCTGTTGAGAGAAACCCTGCATTAAACTTTGAAAATATCCATCATTTTCCCCCTCATTTCTCCATCCATCTCACCCAGAAGCTAAGAGACCTAGCTCCACAATGAGGGGAATATAGCTTTGGGAGTCATGCAGTTACAAAACATGCTTTGTATTTCTACACAAATTATTTCATCACTGTAGGTCATAGTGCCCTCGTCTCAATGGTGGGGCTGGTGACCAGCCACTGGAATGGTTGTGAGAAGACTTAACTAAAAGGACTGCCCTCAGCCAACCCGTAGCTCCTAGAGGAAAGCCGTACGGTGGCTCTTTATCTCTTGAACAGTGGCTCGGTTCGCAATCTCTTGCCATCTCCTTGCCCCCTTATTCTACTGCTGTGAAGGAGAGAAACATCTTTTGTCTTCCTTGTTATGTGGGAAGCAGAAAATTTCTCAGGGTACCTTTCTAAGCCTTTCCTTAAGTCTTCACCATTGCTATGATCGCCACCTTTTAATTACCGACTTTTTTCTTCCTTTTTCCAGAAGTGCATGTGGAACCTCATAAGAAGCAGCTACATGTGACCCTGGCTTACCACTTCCAAGCCAGCCACCTACCCACCCTAGAGAAACTGGCCCAGAACATTGACGTCAAGCTAGGGTGTGACTGGGTGGCTACCATATTTTCTCGGGATATCCGATTTGCTAACCATGAGGTAATGTCTCACTGTGGTTCCAGAAGCTACCAGGTGCAGGGTGCGATCAGAGTCAGCAGCTCGCTGCTGCAGGGAGATGGGTACCTACAGGGGAAAAATGGAGCAAGCACCTAATGGAGAGTCCGTTGGCCCAGGATTGTGTCCAGCCTCTGCCTGGCTCCCTGGGAGGCTTCCAGCGTGCCTCCCTCCTTTCTGGGTCACAAGTGGCTCATCTGGGTAACATAGTTCTGTCTCCCCTGCCAATCTTACCCCAGCGAAAAAGAAATGAAATGAGAGAGAATAAATAAAAAATATATTGGAAAATTTTTAATATTATATAAATTTATGGTGCTAATGGAAGACATCATTTTGACCTTAGGTGAGTTGAAGAACACATAAATACAAACAAAAACAAAAACCTTGCAAAGACATAATCAACATATATTTGCTGTGTATCTGTGTCATGCGAAGTACCATGTTGCATACTGGAATTTTTAAATGTGGTCCTGTCCTCAAGGAGCTCTGAGGACAGACACGCATGAAAAGAAAACGCAAACCACCTGTTGTGAGAATCTTTGCACATCCCAGTGGGAGGCCTGAGTGAGAAAACTGAAGAAAGATTGGCACAGCCCTACCATCCTTCCTTTGAGGGAATCAACATTGCCTTCTAGACAAGTGTGTGACATCTTGGAAGCATAATATTGCCTTTTTTTTTTTTTAATGGAGTTTCACTCCTTGTTGCCCAGGCTGGAGTGCAATGGTGTGATCTTGGCTCACTGCAATCTCTGCCTCCCGGATTCAAGCGATTCCCCTGCCTTAGCCTCCCAAGTAGCTGGGATTACAGGCGCCCGCCACCACACTGGGCTAATTTTTTGTATTTTTAGTAGCACCAGGATTTCACTGTGTTGGCCAGGCTGGTCTTGAACTCAGGTGATCTGCCCGCCTCGGTCTTCCAAAGTGCTGGGATTACAGGCATGAGCCACCGCACCTGGCCGATATTGTCTTTTTTCTATCCTGAAGGAGAAACTGAGACACAAAAACATTAGTGTCTTAGTAACTTAAGGCCAGAGATGAAGCGAGAGCCCAAGTATTTTGACCAATAAAGAGGGGCAACCTGTCTGAAACAAAACTACATCATAGCCAGGCATGGTGGCTGTCACCTATAATCCCAGCACTTTGGGAGGCTGAGGCAGAGGTATTGCTTGAGACCAGGAGTTCCATACCAGCCTGGGCAGCATAGTGAGACTGTATCTCTCCCCACCCACAAGAGACCTCATCGTGTGTTAAAAATGTGCCTTCCGGCCGGGCGCGGTGGCTCAAGCCTGTAATCCCAGCACTTTGGGAGGCCGAGACGGGCGGATCACAAGGTCAGCAGATCGAGACCATCCTGGTTAACACGGTGAAACCCTGTCTCTACTAAAAAATACAAAAAAAAAACTAGCCGGGCGAGATGGCAGGCGCCTGTAGTCCCAGCTACTCGGGAGGCTGAGCCAGGAGAATGGCGTAAACCCAGGAGGCGGAGCTTGCAGTGAGCTGAGATCCAGCCACTGCACTCCAGCCTGGGCGACAGAGCTAGACTCCGTCTCAAAAAAAAAAAAAAATGTGCCTTCCAACTTAACTACATTTATTAAGCAATACTTAACATTTATTTCCCAATTTTTCAAGCAGCCAAAGAACTGGTATTTCTGTTAGTTTGCATAGCCTTTTAACATCTCTTTGAGGCTTCTTTAAAAAAAAAAAAACAAACCATGAGAAAACCGTTAGAACCCCAGGGCTGAGAGCAGACAAGCTCATTGTTTTGGAAGTGGTAGAAGAGCCAACCCACGAATCAGAGGTTCAGGGCTCAGCGTGCGCCTGTGAGTGTCAGGGGCGTGCAGCTTTGTCTGACTCTGCTCATGGGAACGTGATGTCCTCCTTTTGAGTCATTTGATGCAGGTTTCTGTAAGATGCCTTGAGCAGACTGGGCCTGATCTTACTTAAGAATTCTGACATCTCAGGCCGGGCTCGGTGGCTCACGCCTGTAATCCCAGCACTTTGGGAGGCCGAGGCGGGCGGATCACAAGGTCAGGAGATTGAGATCATTTTGGCTAACACGGTGAAACCCCGTCTCTACTAAAAATACAAAAAAAATTAGCCGGGCAAGGTGGCGGGCGCCTGTAGTCCCAGCTACTTGGGAGGCTGAGGCAGGAGAATGACGTGAACCCGGGAGGCAGAGCTTGAAGTGAGCCAAGATCGCACCACTGCACTCCAGCCTGGGTGACAGAGCGAGACTCTGTCTCAATAAAAAAAAAATAAAGAACTCTGACATCTCCTAGAGTCACTTAGAACTAGCCCTGAAGATAACAAAGGAGGTGTGGCTGGTTGGACTCCTTCTGAGGGCAAAGAAAAAAAAAGTCAAGGGTTGCATGCAGATGACCTCTGAGAAGTCACCTTTCTAAGAGAAGGAAGGTGGCAGTGGAATTTTACAAGGAATATCCTCTAATCAACACTGTCCTCCAGTTAACTCAAAGGGTAATTGCTTTTCTGCCTGACCCACATTCTGCTCAACTGGCATGGAAGGAAAAAGGCAGCAAGCGCCCACGTGAATTATGTTCTAAAAATAACGTGGCCTCTTTTATCTCTTATTTGTAAAAGCTCATTTATTACCGTTCATTCTGATAAAGCTCTCCTCGGCCCCTTTGGACTGGACCTCTCCCGTGAGGTCTTTCGGTCCTACCTGAACCCTCTTCTTACCTGCCTTCTTCAATGTGCCCCCAGGAGGCAGTTTTGATTGACTGTTCCAGTGAGGGGACAGATGTCCAGAGAAGGAGAGTGGTTTCGGCAAGGACACTCTGGCAAGGCACCATGATGCTAAGGAAAACTCCAAGGCCTCATCCCTCTGCTGTTTAGATTCTCACTCGATTTGGACACGCGGATCCTCATTTGTATTTCACATAGGCTCTTTCATGTTAGTGATTACGTTGGGCCATGCCAGTTTAATATACCAACCAATAGAAATCCAGAGGAAGTACAGGGTGATCCAAAAAGCATCAATTTTGGAGTCCAGCACACTTGGCTTCAAATCCTGGCTCCATCACTTTAGCAAGGGTTAAATTCACTTTGACAACTTGTACAGATCTCCAGTCCTTAGTTTTGTCATCTGTAAAATGGTGACAATGTTTTGCTAGATGGTTATGAAGACTAAATAAAGAAGATGTATGGAAAGGCTTTAATGTAATACCCAGCACAGGGTGGGTGCAACAGCAACAAAAAATTGCTGCAGCTATTACTGTGAGTGAGAATAAAAAGGGCTCCAAAGACATTTCAGCTCCTGTATTCACACAGGGCTGTGGCTGCCTTTCATTCAGCAAACAGAGTTTCCTCCCACTGTAGTAAGGGAGGAAAAACATACCTGAGGTGGATTCAAGAGTTCGTTTTGTTTTTTTTTAGCTAGAGTCTTGCTCTATCACCCAGGCCAGAGTGCAGTGGTGCAGTCTCGGCTCACTGCAACCTCCACCTCCTGGGTTCACGCCATTCTCCTGCCTCAGCATCCTGAGTAGCTGAGACTACAGGTGCCCGCCACCACACCCGGCTAATTTTTTGTATTTTTAGTAGAGATGGGGTTTCACCATGTTAGCCAGGATGGTCTTGATCTCCTGACCTCGTGATCTGCCCGCCTCGGCATTCCAAATGCTGGAATTACAAGCATGAGCCACGGTGCTGGTCCTGGATTCAAGGGTTCTTAGAGTACAGGCCAGGCACAGTGGCTTACACCTGTAATCCCAGCACTTTGGGAGGCCGAGGCGGGCGCATCACCTGAGGTCAGGAGTTGGAAACCAGCCTAGCCAACACAGTAAAACCTTGTCTCTACTAAAAACACAAAAATTAACCAGGTTTGGTTGTACACACCTGTAGTCCCAGCTACTCCGGAGGCTGAGACACGAGAATCGCTTGAGTCTAGGAGGCAGAGGTTGCAGTGAGCCAAGATCATGCCACTGCACTCCAGCCTGGGCAACAGAGCAAGACTCCATCTCACCAAAAAAAAAAAAAAGAAGAGTTCTTACAAGTAGATGGCAAACATGAAACAAAATAAGTAGAATGTAATATAAATTAGGCTTGTGTTCTCATATCTCTCAAACTTAGGCTAAGGTTTTGAATCTGCTTTTGGTGAGTGAGAAAGGGCAGTGGGGACATGGGTCCCAGTTATAATTTTAGATTTGCTACCATGCCTTAATTCTTTTATTGTTCATTCAATAAATCGAAGCTACTTATTGCCCAGCTTCCCTATGCCTAGGACATATTGTCTCTAGCTTTTGCTGTGCCTCAGTTTTCCTGGGGATAACCTAGAAATAGAATGAATACCCACCTCCCCTGTGTGATAGAACAAGTGAGGACTTCTCTGAAATCGCATTGAGTTTCTCAAGGGAAAGGCACTACTGGGCCAAAGGCATTATCAGCCAAGACCATGCTGTGCTTGAACATTTAAGGAACACAAGTTTAGGCTTGTTTCCCTGTGACTCGGTGCCTTTCTCCACCTTGTCCCAGAAAAAAAAAGAATGTTCCTTTTCATGGGACGTCACACATTTAGCTTTGCAGTTTATGAGATTTTGCGTGAATTTTTTTTTCCCTTTAAGCTGATTTAACAATCCCACAGAAAACCTTCCTGGCTTGTTTGGAGAGGTGGTTTAAGTGTGTATGAGGCAGAGGGACAGGAAGAATAAGGAGGAATCAGAGCAGGAAGATCTAGAACTGAAAGATGCTGGAGTCAGAATTAGAGAAACAAACAGGCGCCCTACATAAAAGGAGAATCAGAAATACAGCAGTACAGATGAGCTCCCTGCACAATCACTCTCATCCTCTGAAAAGAATCACACCTTAAAGGCTCCTTTCTTTAGAGATTTCCAGAAGGAAATTCTCTCTTCATAACATGTTCTGGTGTATCACCTTGACATCAACGAGCCAATTAGTTCACAGGCCCACCCAGCGCAGGGTCCAGGGATCAGGGTCGGCTGGAAGGAAGGATGTGACCTGGGAGATCAGGTGCTCTGGTTCTGTAGAAATTATTATGCCCTGGCTCCTGCCTGTAATCCCAGCACTTTGGGAGGCTGAGGCGGGAGGATCACCTGAGGTCGGGAGTTCGAGACCAGCCTGACCAACATGAAGAAACCCCGTCTCTACTGAAAATACAAAATTAGCCCGGCGTGTTGGCTCATGCCTGTAATCCCAACTACTCAGGAAGCTGAGGCAGGAGACTCACTTGAACCTGGGAGGCAGAGGTTGCGGTGAGCCGAGATCACGCCATCGCACTCCAGCCTGGGCAGCAAGTGCAAAACTCCATCTCAATAAATAAATAAATAAATAAATAAATAAATAATTATGCCCCTTCGGTGCACAAGCCTCTGTTCTAAGGTGTTTTCTTAGATTGTCTCATTTAACTTTTATAGTCTTAGGTATTCTTTTATAGATGAGAAAACTGAAGCCAAAGTTAGAAATATGCAAGTGGAGACCAGAATACATAGCATCCAACTAATGGCTTTGAGACCCTAGGAAACAGTGAAAGCTATTATAGCTTTCTCCGTCTTTATGTCCCTTGTGAAGCAAATAAGATAGGAAATATTTTCCTTACTATTGAGGTTTCCCACTATTAGTAACAAAAAATACTAAAATAAATGTTTTCTGCAGCACCTTCATGCCTGTATCTGCGATGTTAATACATCCCAGGGAAGGAAGGCAAAAAGAAGAATAAATAGCCAACTGGCATGGCCTGTTTTTGGCCTAGGGGCTGTTTTGGAGCACAAAGTAAGAAGGTTTTCTCCATCTGATGAAAGCTGGCTACATGCTGACACAGACACTGATGTCTAGACATTTTTCTTTCAGGATCTTTGTTAAAACTATAGGTTTAAAGAACTCTCCTTTAAGGCAAGAACCATGTCTGGTTTAAAGAGCTAAGTTGGCCAGGCGTGGTGACTCACACCTGTAATCTCAGCAGTTTGGGAGGCCGAGAGAGGGGGAGCACCTGAGGTCAGGAGTTGGAGACCAGCCTGGCCAACATGGTGAAACGCTGTCTCTACTAAAAATACAAAAATTAGCCAGGTGTGGTGGTGGCTGCCTGAAATCCTTGCTACCAGGAAGGCTGAGGCAAGAGAATCACTTGAACCCAGGAGGCGGAGGCTGCAGTGTGCTGAGATTGCAGCATTGCACTCCAGCCTGGGTGACAAGAGTGAAACTCCATCTCAAAATAATAATAATAATTCATAAATAAAGAGCTAAGTTACATAGAAAGAGGGGTACGTCATTCCCTGAGCCTTCCTGTAGGAGAGACACTCCACGTGGCCCATCTGTAACCCCCATATGGAAGACTGGCTTTCCGTGAGCTGGGTTGCAAGTGTCTATCATGGTGACTATCAGATGAAGCAAGGGAAACTAGGTCCAAGTCCATTTATATAGCAGTTGGCCAGCGAGCCTACAGGATTTCAGGTCAGTTTCCAAAAACGATACTTGAATCCTGATGGGAAATCTAGACATGCCTGAAGAAAAGTACGGAACCATTTCTAGCACCAGGCATACACCTGCAGTACTCTGAAGAGAGACGTGCTCTCTGATAGGAATTCACATCTACTCAGGGCACATCGCCCCCTGGAAGTGTGCAATATTAATGCAGAACACACAGTCCTGCCCTAAAGGCACTCAGGAGAATGGTGAGGCCTGGGGCTTACTCACCCTCTCTTCCTTTTTCAGACATTACAGGTCATCTACCCCTATACCCCACAAAATGACGACGAGCTGGAGCTGGTCCCCGGGGACTTCATCTTCATGTCTCCAATGGAGCAGACCAGCACCAGCGAGGGTTGGATCTACGGCACGTCCTTAACCACCGGCTGCTCTGGGCTCCTGCCTGAGAATTACATTACCAAGGCTGATGAATGCAGCACCTGGATATTTCATGGGTAAGCAGACACCAAGACCTTTATGCCATCTGAAGAACGTTGCTAAGGCAGACTGGATCCTGGATACACAGGGCAGCAGTAAATGGAGCCCATGGGAAGAAGGCCCTGTGGGTTCCAGGCTTCCGGGAAAGGAGCTGACTTGAGGCATGGGAAAAATGCGAAAGGAATTGCTCTGCCTCCCTCTGCCTGCCCCGTTCGCCATAGTTGTCTGCTTGAGTTCCTGATTGGAGACTAAACCGAGGCTGCATGGGGTCCATCTCTTCTGGCTGAAGGGTGGCATCATCCCAGCACTGCGTCTTCACTGCTTTAGGGCTTCTGTCCACCTTGTCCTGGGTCATGACTCAGGGTGGTCTGACTCCCCGAAGCAGCTGGGCAGATTACTACCCTGCCAGCCAGACCCATAGAGAAGGAGGTTTCAAGAGGCAGGAGCCCTAACTGGATCCTTCATTTGCTAAGTGACCCTGAGCAAGTCCCTAGACACAGCCCGTGCATGCCTAGACAACAAAGACCGCGTCTAAGGGAACAGGCAACTGCCAGACTGAAAAGGGATCCATTTCCCCCTCCCCTCTGCCAGTCTTCTTTAGGGTAATAACTTTCCTCCCATCCCTCATTACTATTTTGCCCCTATTCCATACTGGTCCCGTGTTCAGTGGCCAACTTTGTTCCAACAGAGAAAATAGAAACAAAAGGCATCTTCTCTTTCTTAGCTGGAGCAGCTCGAAGCCAGCGCTTCCCTGGCACACTGGGGCATCTAGCCAGGGCCTGCGAGCTGGTTTGTTTTCCTCCCTCTTGTTTTTGTCATGTGGCAACATGGCTGAGAGGCAGAAGCCCTGAGCACCAGCTGCTTGGTGGCTAACATTGTTATTATCACCATAAAGGAGAAGCAGAGAGAAATGATTTCATCAAGTCTTTTGCCTGGAAGGAGAAAATAAAGGTCCCCTACCCTAGTGAGCCACAAACAGACAAACCACAAATCCAAAGATGGGAAATAATATTTTCTTCCTCAATAACCCCACCCAGCAATCCCTTCCCCTCTCTTTCACTCCGCTCCCACCTCAGCCCAGCCCGTGAGCCTGCAGAACCGGATGGCACAAAATTAGAGGTCAGAGTTGTCTCATGTTCCCCAAGCATTTGCTTTTTCAGAAGTGCTTTGGAAGATCAAAATATATAAGCTGGGTTTCCAAAGTCTCCATTTTAATCCCTATAACAACAAGGAAAGCAAAATTGCATGAATAAACTGAGAACTAAAAGATTATTTGCCTGACAAAGCATAGTTCTCAGATCTATTATTTTTTATTTTACAGTACTTGGAGTTGCTGTTTTATCAGATCTCTTTCTTAAAAGTGGGTGTATGGCCAGGTGCGGTGGTTCACGTCTGTAATCCCAGCACTTTAGGAGGCCAAGGCGGGTGGATCACTTGAGGTCAGGAGTTCAAGACCTGCCTGACCAACATGGTGAAACCCCGTCTCTACTAAAAATTTTTTTTAAAAATCAGCTGGGCATGGTGGCACACGCCTGTAGTCCCAGCTACTTAGGAGGCTGAGGCAGGAGAATCACTTGAACCTGGGAGGTGGAGGTTGCAGTGAGCCGAGATCACACCACTGTACTCCAACCTGGGCAACAGAGCAAGACTTTGTCTCAAAAAAAAAAAAAAAGGATGTATGTGAGAAGCAGTGCTGATCTCTTAGAGTTCACTCCATCCAAGCCCACTCTTCCCTAAATTACAGCTCAGGCTGACGTATAGGTGAACCTGAGTGACTTCGGTCAGTGCGTCCCAGGGAGGTCTTTGTGTCATCTTTTATTTGAGAGATTACTCATGATGTCATGTCTGTGAGAACAACGTCTGAAATTAAACTCACAGCTTCCCCAGCCAACTCCGTTCAAAGTAGGGAAATAAGTTAGGCATTAGTTTATTGTAATTAAGAATTTGAGACTGGGTTCCAATAGTCTTGGATTTAAACGATAACTCTACCACTTACCAGCTGTGTGGCCTTGGCCAAGTTGCATTACCTCTCTGAGCCTCTGTTTGCTCATCTAGAAAATGGAACTAATCATTGCACTTACCTCATAAGGTTGTTGTGAAGACTGCAATGCCGAGCTTCGCTTTACATGGTTCAGAGTCTGGTGTATAGCGGTGACTATAAAATCACCATTTGCATAATGATGACTTTTGTCTATCTTGTGTTTGCCAGTCCTCACTGAGTGCTCATCAAAGGACATGTGTCTTCCATAAAAGCAATCCTGTAGATGAACTGCACTTTCCTATTTAACCCCAGAGGTTAAATGACTCAAGGAGGCAGAGCCCAGCTTCCTTGTAAGACAGATCTTCTCTCACTCCTAACCCAGGATAGACATCAGGAGGTAGAACCCCAGGGGAATGGCAAGCATGGCCTGGCTGGCATGGTGGGAGTTGCCCAGGGGATCCAGGCAACAAGTCATGATTGGGGGTCAATGAGTTTAACAACACTCCCTGCCAAGTGCTTCTCAGTTCTCTGAGTCCCTCCTAAGGAAATATGTTCTCTCCACACTAACTTGAGTGTCTTACTTGGTTCTAAGTAAGGCAAGTTGATGAAGCCTCCTTGTGTTCTCTGAACCTGGATGAGCTGCCTGGCCGCTCGGGCTTAGCACAGGCCTGGCGTGTTGCAGGGAGAAACCAGCTCTCCTGATGCTTGAGATGTTCTGGATCTTAGACCCGGCTTCCTCCCTCCACTGTTCTGAGCAAGAAGCATCTGACTATTGTCTTACTGGAACTGGCAGCTCCACGCTGTCTCAGAGTGAGTCAGGTCCTTTGATTATAATGACAGTTAAGAAGGGAAAGAGGCTGGCATTCGTCTTGCCATGGGAGCCGAAGGAGGGAGAGAAGGAATCCTATCAGTATCTTCACAGCTGCAATAAAGTAAAGAAACAGACATGTACACGCAATATGTCAGCACAATTCTAGGTAGCCAGACGTTTTGCACCCTGAAGCTTTGATGAGTCAGACAATAAAACTGGATTTTCTTTTTTTTTTTTATTTTTTCTGAGATGGAGTCTCACTCTGTCGCCCAGGCTGGAGTGCAGTGGTGTGATGTCAGCTCACTGTAACCTCCGCCTCCTGAGTAGCTGGGACTTCAGGTGTGTGCCACCATACCCAGATAATTTTTGTATTTTTAATAGAGACGGGGTTTCACCATGTTGACCAGGCTGGTCTTGAACTCCTGACCCCAGGTGATCCACCTGCCTCAGCCTCCCAAAGTGCTGGAATTACAGACGTGAGCCACCGTGCCCAGCCAAACTGGATTTTCTTGAACTGTGTGATGTTTGGAAGGGTCTTAGTTTAAAATAAAGTAGAATAGCTGGTCTCTTATACCGTGTGAACGGCACAAGATTTCCTTGGGCTACAGTTACTTAAATTTTTCCATAACAGGTTTCACTTGGCAACATATTCAGATGGACTGATACAGGTTTCCTGGTTCCCACTCTGACCTACTGAATCACAGCCTGTGAGGAGCAGAACCCCAGCATGAGTGTTTTTTTTTTAAAGTCCCCTGGTGATTCTGATATGCACAAGTATTCAAAATCAGTTTTTCAGGGCATGAGACTTCTGAAACCTTCGTTTATAAGTAGATAGAACGAGTCTGTCACTTCTAGTGAAAAAGCAGCCACTTCTGAAAGTGAACGGGGTGCTAAGATAAAGTTACATAATTTTTGGAACAAAAATTTACCAACAACCAGTTTGCTGTATTATATTTGTGAATATAAAAAGTTATTTTCAAAAATAAAATTCTGGGCCAGGTGCGGTGGCTCACGCCTGTAATCCCAGGATGACTTCAGGAGGCCAAGTGGTCAGATCACCTGAGTTCAGGAGTTCGAGACCAACCTGGCCAACATGGTGAAACCCTGTCTCTACTAAAAATACAAAAATTGCCAGGCGTGGTGACGCATGCCTGTAATCCCAGCTACTCCAGAGGCTGAGGCAGGAAAATCGCTTGAACCTTCAGGGTGGAGGTTGCAGTGAGCCAACATCATGTCATTGCACTTCAGCCTGGGTGACAAAAGTGACACTCCATCTCTAAAATAAAATTCTGATAATACAATGTTAAAAGTGAATAATCCAAAACAGGTGGTAGCCCAGACAGGTTGCTGGGTCAGCAGATGCAAGCCAGGAGTATATGGAGAAAACTGGGATAGATAGCTACCCAAATTGTAAAGAAGCAAGACATCTATAAAATTTAAATGTTTCCCCTGGACCCTGCTCAGTGATTTCCAAAGATGTTCACTGGATTTGCCTAACAACCACATTTAAATTGCAATGTTTATTAGATAAAGCTTTGTGGAAGTCTTACTATTGACAACAATTTCAGCTTGGCAGGTTTTGACTGTCTTCCTTTCAGCAAGACCTCTTTTTAGGCTTCTGTAGCTATAGTGTTACACTCAGAAATGAGAGTTCTTGGCTCACAGCTCTAAACATCTGGTGAGAATGGTCTTCTCTGAAATAATTCTATTTGTAATCATCTTGTTGGAGGTGTGATTGAGGGGAGATAGGGTTTTGGAGACTGAAGAGGGTAGAATAGGGGACTTTGGCACAATGTTTCCTTGACCGTTAGGAGCCACTGGCTAAGTGGTGGAGATGGTGAAAAGACCCCCCTATCACTCTTCACTTCAGATGGAAATTACCGCGGGAAATATTAAAGGCAACAGGGATCATAGATTTCTTTTGAACCAGAAAAACAGCCGCAAACAAATAATTGACATATTGTTATTCTTGAACTTGTCTTTGGCGTGAACCATGCATGGCACAAAATCACTAGGACCCATCCTTGCCCAAAGGAATGAATATATCTGTCCTCAGTGTAGAAATCCATCTACCTCTAATTTATTTATTTACTTATTTTTATTTTTATTTCTTTTTGAGATGGAGTTTCACCCTACCGCCCAGGCTGGAGTGCAGTGGTGCGATCTTGGCTCACTGCAGCCTCCGCCTCCCAAGTTCAAGCGATTCTCATACCTCAGCCTCCCGAGTAGCTGGGACTACAGGCACACATGACCACGCCCAGCTGATTTTTTGTATTTTTAGTAGAGGTGGGGTTTTGCCATGTTGGCCAGGCTGGTCTCGAACTCCTGACCTCAAGTGATCCACCTGCCTTGGCGTCCCAAAGTGCAGGTGTGAGTCACCACGCCCGGCCTACCTCTAATTTATTAACTGCAAGTCTTCAGTATAAAAGAAGGTATTCTTCCTTTAGGAATGGGACCACTCTGGCTCAGCTTCCCTCATCATTGCGCTACCCACAGAGGGCGCTAAGTTAATTTCCCACACTCCTGTTGACCCCAGGAGGAAGTGCTGATAACTGCTGGCCAGAGCGTTAACACCTTATCTCCCTCTGCAGTTCTTATTCAATCTTAAATACATCATCGTCCAACTCTCTCACATTTGGGGATGGAGTATTGGAGAGGCGGCCGTATGAGGACCAGGGGCTCGGGGAGACGACTCCTCTTACTATCATCTGCCAGCCCATGCAGGTAAGGCCGATTGTTAGGATCACACCCCCAACTCTAACCAGGATTCACTGAGAACCTATTTATTAAGTATGAGGCATTGCCCTTGCTATCTCCAAAGGTTCCATGATCTCTTGGGAAGAAAGGACACCAAATTATAAAAGATATACAAAAATTCAAGGCTGGGAAGAGTCAGATGAGCAGTACTGACAGTTACTTCCAACATTTGAAGCTAGGCTCATAAGGAAGGTTGTTCCACAGACATAGGAGGAAATTTTCTCTCTAAAGTAGGAATAATGCCCATAGTTGTATCTGTTTTGTAGTTTGTCACAAAGATAAAAGAAAATAATAAAATAAGGCTGGCACAATAACTGGCATATAATGAGTGCTCAGTATGTGTTAACTTTTTCAAGAAAGGTTGGAGATGGAAGGAGGCAGGGAGTCGTTGTTGAACAGTACAAATAGAGGCAAGCTGAAAGTTCAAGCATGTTGAGGATCAAGAGAGTAGACCATTGTGGCTGGAGCCCAGGATTTGAATGAAGGAACAATAGGAAAAGAGATGAGAAGGATCATGCCACCATTCCATGTATTAACCTTGTCAGGGCCACTAGCAGCAAATGTGAAGTGCTGGCCAGCACGAAGGAAACTGGAAAAGCTGACTATATCAGAAAGAAGGAATGCAGAAACATCTGCAAGGTTCCATCCAGCAGTTATAGAAGCCAAAGTCATTTGGACAAGCCTTTGACTCGATTTGCCTGTGTCATCACCCAGAGGTAGCAGTTGTCTCATTTTGGGGATCACCAACATATGTATAGTCAGACAGCAGAGCCTACATTGTGATTAGAATAAGAAAACAGGGTCTCATTGCTGGAGTGGACCATGAGGACCACGTGGTCTGGCCACACACTTTAGAGAAAAGGTAGACACATTTGTGATCACAGAAGCCCTCACTCCCTGAAGAAGTTGATGAATTGCCCCTTCTAGGGGGGAAGATGTCCCACTAGATGGCTGTCTCTACGTGAATGGCTAGTTTTACCTCTGAGCTGTAACTGAAAGTGTACGGCATGTTTTAGTAATGGCCAAATGCTACTCCTACAAAGGGCAGCTGTAGCAACAATAATGCCCTTTTCACAACCCTTCTCATTTTATAAAGACATGCAGTTTATCTTATTTGAGCCTCAAAATAACTTATGAGGTCTGTAGGATGAGTCTTACTGTCCTCACCTAGTCACACCTTGGCAGAACTTTGGTAGGAGAGCTCAGCTCACCTGGCACCTGGCTCCAAGACATGTCCACTTTGCCATGTGAGTCTTCACTGATAGCCTTTCTTTCTCTGTAGCCGCTGAGGGTCAACAGCCAGCCCGGCCCCCAGAAGCGATGCCTCTTTGTGTGTCGGCATGGTGAGAGGATGGATGTTGTGTTTGGGAAGTACTGGCTGTCCCAGTGCTTCGATGCCAAAGGTGAGTTGTTGGTGGGCCTGCTCAGCACTGCCATACCCATAGTGGCCTCTAGGGGGCACAGTCAAGCTACAGTTATCTGGATGGAGTCATTTATAGTTTTGTGTACTATAGAAAATGTCTGTTATCCGTAAGCCCCTCCTGATTGTCTTGAGCTTTAGGGAAGAAGTAAGTGTTCTTGTCCCCATTCTATAAACTTGGATGCCAGGACTAAAGAAGACAGATGTCTTGCCCAAGGCCACATGGCAAAGTCAGCAGCAGCAACGTGCCCTAATCTCATGGCCAGAGCTCCTGCCATTAAACCTCCCGGGTTCGCTGGGTTCCATTTTCACTTGAGTGGCATTTGAAGACACGGAGGCTTGCCTGACCAGGGAATCTCACCTGCCTTAGGGTGCATGGTTATTACCTTCACTGAGAAACTACCTCATGTCACTTTTGTCAGTAGAATGGAAGAGTGAATTCCAAGTCACTTTATGAAACAAAATATCAGCCTTGATATTTTCCATCAGCTCCAGAGAGCTCAATGTGATCTCTTTGGCCAAGAAGGAATGGGGGTGGAGAGTGTCAGGATCAGTAAGGGAGTCCCAAGTAAACAAGAAATGTATGTATCCTCTGTCTAACTTTTTTATTTTTCAGGCCGCTACATACGGAGCAACCTGAACATGCCTCATAGTTTACCTCAGCGGAGTGGTGGTTTCAGAGATTACGAGAAAGATGCTCCCATCACTGTGTTTGGATGCATGCAAGCGAGACTAGTGGGTAAGTATCCTGGAGTGACTGTACTCCAGGCATTTCCTGCCGCCTCCTTCAAAACGCTGGTACCATGGATATGCGGGACCCTTCCTGGGGGCTTCTATAACTTTCCTACAAGTAATAAATTTCCTCAATTCAAAAGGAACTTGCTACACAACCATTAAGTTTAGGACACTGTGCTCAGCCCTGGGTTGGTTGACCAAAGTGAATGAGGTGTGGTCCTTATTGAGGACCTCGTGATCCAGTAATGGCTTGGGTTACTGTGCTCACTGTTGGATGTAGCAGACAGGTCAGCCTCTAGTTCAAGGCAGCAGCATCTGCCAGCATGGCTGTGGAAGAGGACAAGAGTGAAGAAGACGGACCTGGACTTGCTGAATTTATAAAGGCCAACTGATCCTTTGAAGATGCCCAGCTCTTTGCAAGCCCATTCCATTACTGCCGCGGGGAGATAGTACTTTCCTGTTCAGTCACTTAGCAGATATGTAGTGCTCACTTACCTTGTGCAAGGTATTGGACTAAGGGAACCCAAGTGTGGGTCAGGGAAACAAACTTATGTGTGGATAAATATCATACAATATGATATACATAGAGCTATGCGTGGTCACCAAATATTATGGGAACACAAAAAGACATCTAAGAGGTGAAGAGGTGAGCGGGGAGCTGAAGTGGAAGTTAGCTGGGCAAAGAAGGAGCAGGAGTGAGGAAATGGCATTTTCAGTGGGAGGGACCACATAAACTGTCTGAGGCTTGAGAAACAGCCTCAGGAATGCAGGGGAAACAAAGTGCCTTGTGTCTAGAGTATAAATTGCAAGGCAAGGCAGAGATGAGGCTGGCAAGATGGATAAAGGCAAGTTCATGGAAGACCTTGATCACCATGTTAAGGTGCTCGGATTTAATCCAGTAGACAAAATAACTGGTTTCCAGGCCCGGCGTGGTGGCTCTCACCTACAATCTAGCACTTTGAGAGGCTGAGGCAGGAGGACTGCTTGAGACCTGGAGTTTGAGGCTGCAGCGAGGTATGATCGCACCCCTGCACTCCAGCCTGAATGACAGAGCAAAACCCTATCTCTGAAAATTAAATTAAGAAGAAGAATAAATGTTTTAAAGAAGTGGATTTTATGAGGATAGCAGTAAAGTATGAGGTGTTGGGATTTATCTCTGGTGTCTAAGAATATGACATGTTGAGATTTTGGTTAGCACAGAATAAAATTAAAACAAGACCTAATATTCATAAAATAAATCCTCTTTCACAAATTTGAAGCCAAAGTATTGTCCTGTTTCTTAATATCTCCTAGCTAAAGGCTTTACCACTTGTTAGCACCAGAGGGAAGGGAAAGAAAAGACAAGAAGGGCTCTGTCACTTGCTCTCACAGGAACACCGATGAGGGGTTTTGTTAGAAACTAACAAAGGCTGACACTACTGGCTCTATGTGAGCCCCAGTTAGGAAAGAAGGGTTTACAGGGGCTTACTGCTTGGCCCCCTCTCACACTGCGAATCGAGGTGAGACTGAGTAAATCCATCAGACTGATTCTTTTGTGGTTTTCTTTGCAGGCGAAGCCTTATTAGAGAGCAATACCATTATCGATCATGTCTATTGCTCCCCGTCCCTTCGCTGCGTTCAGACTGCACACAATATCTTGAAAGGTGAGACTTGCAGGTTGACAAAAACAAGTAGCCCATCCCTCTGTTTCTAGGCAGCCCCACACATAAATTATCTTAGAGTCATGGGACATTTGCCAGTTGAAAGCTTCGAATTTGGAATGAAGCAAGGATTCTTTCAGAAGGCGATCTTTGCCCAAGTCACAAAAACATACTCTGGCAGCCTAAGCGAAATAAAAGGAAGTATACTAATCATGTTTTCTTTGAGAATTTAAAGCGCTCTTGGATGAATCCTAGGCTTGCAAAATGTTTACTTATAGAGTGTGATCCTTTCTTTACACTTAATAGTCAAATAACTTTCCTGTTTTGATCTGTTGTTTGCCTCCTGTGCTGCTCCTAGGAGCCTCAAATCTTAATCATCATTTTTTCTTTACTTAATTGGAAAGACTTTAAAAGCACCATTGCTACCAAGATACTCAACTCTCACCCTAAAATCTGTGGAAGCATGAGTTACAGGTATCTCCATTCTCATTTCATGGGAAGGAAAACTAAAAGGAACAGGATTAGACCGTTTACTTCTACCAAAGAAATGAATGAGCCAGAAATAAGCCAACAAAGAACTTGACACTACATCTGAGTCTTCTATCCTTTAACCTTAAGTAAACCTCTTCACTACCAGAAGGCATTTATGTATTCAATTTGCACAGAACAACTGGACTGCATGCAATATGACGATAACTAAGCAGGGACCATTTCTAGGAAGCCAGCTGCACTACAGTAAAGCAGAGGGCTTCTGCACTGCTACTAGTAAATGTTCAGCATTGGATTTTCTGGTAGAGAAAATGAACAATTTACATGATATTCAAATACGATGTTGGATACTCAGAAACTATCTGAAGTTTCTTGGTAACACCATCATGGAATTTGCTTTAGAAAGAGGAATTATGGGGGCCAGGTGCAGTGGCTCATGCCTGTAATCCCAGCACTTTGGGAGGCCGAGACGGGTGGATCACAAGGTCAGGAGATCGAGACTATCCTGGGTAACCCGGTGAAACCCCGTCTCTACT